CCCTAAAAGGACAGCCCCATCTCAAGCTCTGCCTATTATGAATATGATAATTAGGTTGTGAAATTAAATGAATATGCATGTAGAGATGTTGTAATCACTCATAAAAACTGTATCAATTACCTGGCTTTTCACTGAGAACTTGGGAGCTGGTTTGGGAGCTGGTTCCCCAGCGTTGCTCACAATAAATACCTTTGCTGCTTAAAGACTCAAAACTGTCTCTGGGCAGTCTCATTTCTGCCAATTTTGGCATCAACTGCCATCCCTCAGGAAGAAGCAGTGGCACCAAGAGTCAAGCCGTTGCAGGCAAGGTGGGAATTCGAGCCTTGGGGAAAAAGCCTGGGGGGGAAATTCCCTGCTGGAATATTGCAATGGTGAGTGTCAAATAAAAGGAGCACATCCTACCTGTGTGGACTTTGATGTGCTGGTACAGGGAGTTCCTCTGGGCGAAGGTCCGGAAGCAAACCTCGCACTTGAAGGGCTTGGATCCCGTGTGGATCCGGTTGTGGTGCTTCAAGTATTCCTTGGAGGCAAAGCTCTTCCCACACGTTTCACACATGAAAGGCCTTTCCCCTAAAAAAGCGGGGGAAAAGGAGAATTAAACCAACAGGGATTTTGGGAATGCTCTTAAACCATCCCAGCCAAAACTGAGGGATCTTATGGAGCGTGTCCTCCCTCTGGGGTCTGAGGGGGCCTTTAAAGGTCACCCAGTCCCAAATCCTGCCGTGGGCAGGGACACCTTCCACCAAGCCCAGGTTGCTCCCTAGCCTGGAACACTTCTAGGAATGGGGAATCCATAGCTCCTCTGGGAAAACTGTTCCAATGCCTCACCACCCTCAGAGGGAGGAATTTCTTCCCAGTACCCAATTTAAATAAACCCTCCTTCAGCTTAAAAAAATCACAGAATATCCCGAGCTATCGGGTGTTCTGAGCTTTCTCAGGAAAACCACATCTGGAGACGAGGGCATCCCGTTCAATATAATAGAAAAAAAAACCAACAACAAAAAAGCATCTTCTGAAGGCAAGACGGTTTCCAGCTTTCCTGGAATGGTTTGTCTGGCTTTTTTTGTCCTCCCCCTGGCTTCCAGGCCTCCTCCGACCCCGATCCCGCGGTGCCCGACGGCTCCTCACCTGTGTGGCAGCGTCTGTGATAGATGAGCATGTGGTTCTGAGTGAACCGGGCCCCACACTCATCACAGACAAAGGGCTTTTCCCCCGTGTGGATTCTGAAAGGAGAAAGGAACGTTCAAACACCAGGCCCAGGCTCTTCCCTCCACAGAACAACCGGAGCAGGGGGGTGGGGGGACATTCGGGGCTGGTTTGTCGCTGGATCGACGCCCAGGTCTGGGAATTTTAGGGCAAACCCGAATTTTTTAAAGGTGTTTTTTTAAGGTAAGACGGAGGAAAAGTTTAGGGAATTTCTCTCCGGGGTGTGGTGCCCGTCCTTTGGGATGTGAGGGGAAGCGCAGCCAGGGTTTTGGGATAGCCGGTTTTCTCCACAGGGAGAGGACAGATGGCAAAATACATCCCAAAAGACAAGGAATTAACACAGCACTGGGTTTCCAGCGTTCAGCAAGACTCCTGGCAACGGGACACAGCAGAGAGGAAATTCCACTTATGCCCCAAAAATAATCTTTAGGCGGATCAGCTCATTTCCTTGGGCAGGTAAAGCTCTGGGAACTGATAAAATCAGGTTAAAGCCCCTCAAAGATGATTATTTTTCCCCTCATAAAAATGCCCTGAGAGAGAGATGGAAAAACTGATAAAATCCGGTTCAATCTTTCAGAGATGATTTTTTCCCTGCTAAAAAAGTCTCTGCCCTAACAGAAATGAAATAATGGTAAAATCTGGTTAAATCCCTCAGAGTTTATTGTTTTCCCCTCATAAAAATGCCCTGAGACAGATAAAATCAGGTTCTACCCCTCAGAGAGAATTTTTTTCCCCCTCACAAAATCATCCTGAGAGAGAAAATCAGGTTCTAGCCCTCAGAGATGATTTTTGGCCTGATAAAAATATCTCTTCCCTGATAAAATCAGGCTCAACCCCTCAGAGATGATTTTTGGCCTGATAAAAATATCTCTTCCCTGATAAAATCAGGCTCAACCCCTCAGAGATGATTTGTTTGCCCTGATAACGAG